TATATAATGGAAAAACTGCTCACAAGAAAAAACTACTAACATGTGAAACCAAATAGATAAATTTCAAATGTGCTGAACTAAAACAAAGAAGTCAGGACCAAAAGGCTACATAAACTGGGTAATCTCACCAATATAATACTTTAGAAAAGACAAAACTATAGTGACAGATCAGTGACCATCAGTACAAGGAAAGATTTTTGGAATAAACTGCCATGTACCTTGATTATGAGTAGCTTTTATAACTCTACATTCATAAAAATTATAAAGCATTAAAATAAATTTTACTTTTTCAATTTATAAAAGGTAATTTTTAAAAACTAAGGTAGTTTGAAAAGAAAGGCAATCTAGAAGGCATAAAAATAGTAACAGATAATAACAGACTGTAGACATAGTCTAAAACAAGAGCTACATAATGAGGTACCAAGTTAGAGATAGGGTTTTGGATTTTTTGTTTTGTTTTGTTCTGTTCTGCCTGAGACGAAGTCTCACTGTATAGCCCTACCTGGCCATTTCTATGTAGGCCAGGCTGACCTCGAACTCAGAGATCTACCTGCCTCTGCCTCTTGAGTACTGGGATACATCACCACGGACAGCAGGCAATGAGTTTTAAAAGCAAGGCAGTTTGGTTACCTAAATCAGTGGTTAAGGTGAGGAAGATGATGAACTTTAAGCTGCATAATAAAGTATATTTTTGGCCCTGGTATGTACTGAAGTCAGAGACAATCACAGCCATGTAAAAAGATTCTGAATCACAAAGCTGAGAAAAGAGAGGCTTACGAGCTTATGACCAGGCAGCACTTTAGCCCATTTAAAAATACTAATGCTAATACTAATTTTAAATTACTATCTTTAAATCAAGGGTGTGTGTGTGTGTCTTTGTGTGTGTGATGCTGGGGATCAAACAATGGACCTTGCAATTGTGGGCAAGTGTGTTTTACCACTGAGCTACAGCCCTACCCCTTCAAGGCTTCTTCATAAGAAATGCCTAGATAGAATTATCGAAGTCCACAAAACCGACAGGAATAAAAATGCATATTGATTTTTAACCTCTAGTTGAAATTACTGTATCTCTTTCAGCTATGAATGTATGCACATTAACAGGAATGGTGCTTTGATCACTTGCAGATTCTTCCCATCAGACCAGATCACCATGGATCTGCTATCTTATTTTGTATACATTAATAAAGAACAACTTGACAAATTTGTTTTAAATCATTTAGAGGTTTTTTGGTTGCTTTGTTTTAGAATAAGCAAAGTTTATTTTTATCTGGCAGGAAAGTAGATACTTAGTGTAAGCATGGTGTAAGCCAATACTGAAGCACAAGTCCCACCTAGTAGCTGGGCCTATAGCCTTGGTCTACCATTTGTCCTCTTCTTGCCTATGCTGTAAAGTAGTCACTTTCCTGGAATAGGTGGAGGCTTTCATAGACATTATCCTTTCTCACAATTCACTGTTAAAATTAGATGCATTAGATCTAGGACTTCGTATAAAAGTATAACTATGACAAACTGAGCTTGCTAGGGGAAAAGCTCTTCAAGAAGGGGCTCCATAGGAGCCAAACAGAACCTGCAGAAACCAGGTTTGTTTTTCTCAGAGCCCTAATACCTTCCTCTAATTTGGTTACTTTAGCCATCTCATATCCCACCTGTAGGCCCTCTTACTGCCTTTCCCCAGCATTAGTTTTAACCCTATCATTTCCCCTCCAAACCCCAAGGATTTGAGATTTGACTGATTAGCTGATTAGCTGCTTCTGCTAAAGGGGGGAAGCCACTTGGCTGGGTTCTCCTTGACTGGTTATGAAGAGAGAGGATAGGTAAATGGAACATCCAGTCTGTCCAAAGTTCCACAGTAGAAAAAGATCGTCCTAGCAGTCAGAGTTGACATCCTTTAGCCAACTTTTTCTTTCTTTCTTTCTTTCCTTTTTTTTTTTTTTTTTTTTTTTTTTTGCAGTTTTAGGGCCTGGATGCACTGCAGCTTTGGCTTTCTTTCATGAGAGTCTCCTTCCCTAGTCTTCAATGATGTTATTTGCAGCTTACATATTACCAGCCTGTTGTCACTGCCATCTATTGCATGGTATTTTCAGATGTCTTCAAACAGTGTTAAAACACTCTCCAGTTTCGTATCTTAATTGTTTGATATGTAATTGGTTTCTTTGTAATCTAAAATATTTTATTTAATGTAATATTTAGAATGTATTAAATGATACACTAAGATAGTATTTATAAAGCTTCTTTATACTTCCAAAGTGGCCATGACAATGGAGGGTTGGCAATCCCTAATATCCTGCCTGGGTATTACAAAGGAACTCTAGTACTCTCCATACATCCATGACATGCTACAGGGTAGTATGTACTCAAGGCAGGGAAAGGGTAGAAAAGTATATGGTGTTTACCTTTGTTTTCTAAATATACTATCCATATATCTTGTATTACTCATTTAAAAAGTAAAAGAAAGACAGGGAGGGAGAGAGGGAGGGAAGGAAGGAAAAACTAAATTTAAAAACAAACAAGGCCAGATCTAAAGGCAAAGCCCACCAATCCACTGGGTTACATGATAACAAACAACAACCAAATGAGCTGGGCAGCCACTCAAACAACAGCAATGCCTGAACAGAGGAAGGCAGTGAGAGGGCCGAAATTAGAAGGACAGCAAATGCAACTGTGGATCCAAAGGACTGTCAGACAGGGTTGTATGTTTGTTTTGTTTTTTTATTTTCTTTTTGTTTTTTTGGCCTACAGACAATTGGGCAAGAATTGGGGGAAGAGGAAAGCCTTAAAAAAAGTAGGGACAAAAAAGCTCCAGCCATACTAATTCAATTACCTGTGATCAACCCCCAGAACCCACCGAAAGGTAGAAGAGAACACTATGCTGCCCTCTAACCTCAACACACATGCTGCAGTACCTGCCCCTCCCTCACTCAGCACCCAAATAGTAAACATTTTTACAAGAAATGTATTTCAAATATTAAAATAAATAATACATAAGTATTATAAAGGCATCGTTTCCTTTCTATTAATAAAAATATTAGCTCAAAACTTTTCAGTAAAATATACCTCTAACTTTATAAAGGAAATCAAATAACAGATTAAATGTGGTTTCCTTCATTTCTTTGTCATTTAATTCTGAATTAAATGTTTCCACAGAAGAACTTGGTTGACAGCCCCTCCCTTTGTTTTCCAGGCTGGCCTTGAATTAGCATGTGACAGTAGTCAATCCTCCTCCTGTCTCAGCCTTCTGAGTGCTGGGATTTCATAGCTGAATTACCACACATGCTGAATATTACTTCAATTTCATATGCATAATTTTTTTAAGATAACAAAAACAAGGGTGCTGTGTTGGGCATGGTGGCACATGCCTAGAGCATTTGGGAGGCAGAAAGCAGGCAGATCTCTTAGTTCAAGGCTAACCTGATATACACAGTGAGTTTCAGGCCAGTCAAGTCTACAGAGTAAGACAATGTCTTCTGAACAGAAAAAAATAAGCTAATATACTCCAACATCTTGGAACTTTTCATTATAAACAGTAAAAATTAAGTCTTTGGATTAATTTTTCCTAATTACAGAGTATATATTCATTATAGAAAACCTACAAAATACAAAAATGAGTTCCCTATTATCTTACTGTAACCATTTTATTTCCTTTATGGCTACTCTCATAATACTAGTAATAATATTAATCAAGCTATACTAACAACCTCTGTTATGGGCTGCATTTGAAGTACCCCCACCAAAAGCTCTTATGTTAGGGGCTGGAGAGGTGACTCAATGGTTGGGAGCACTGGCTACTACAGAAGAGAACTGGGGTTCAATGCTCAGCACCCACATGATGGCTCAAGCATCTGTAAACTCTACTTCCAGGGAATATGATGCCTCTTCTAACCGCCATCAGCACCAGGAAAACATGTGGTGTGCATATACATACGGCCAAAACACTCATATACCCAATATAAAATTTTAAGAAGTAAAATGAGAGCTGTGGATATAGCTTTACCAACAATAGAACACGGCTTGGGAGAGTCTGTACACTGAAAGTTGATTTGGGTCATAAGGAGTATGATGTACTCAACAGATTAAACAATTCACAGGTTCCTAATATGATGGCTTTTTGGAAAGTGGTTCACTTGTGTAGAGATGTGATCTAGTCAAATGAGCAGGGCTCTGTTCTCAGGGGCTACATCTTATTCCAATCCCTCCCTTCCCTCTCTAATGCCTGGCAACTGGGAGGCAAGCAGCTCTGCTCAGCCTCATGACATTTTTGCTTAGACAGGCAGAGAAGTAATGGAGCTAGCATAGCAGTCCAGGGATTAAAATCTCTAAAACATGTGCCAAAGCATGTATTTCCTTCTTTAAACTGTTTTTCTCATGTATTTGAAACTGCATTGATGTTGAATTTCTCTTAAGCTGCCCGGCCAAGAGCTGTATAAATACTATTTCACTATAGTATGACAACAATTCTACTTCAATCACAGGTAAGTATTATCATTTTATAGTTTTATCAACCAGATTTAAAAAGGTTAAGAAATATGTCCATGGACACAGAAGTGGTAGAGCTGAACTCAGTATCCTTAAACAGTGTACAATTTTAGACCACAATTAATACATACATAGATATGGTACTATATTCTTTGATCATAATTTCTTTTTTTTTTAAGATTTACTTATTTACTATATATACAGATCTCATTCTAGATGATTGTGAGCCACCATGTAGTTGCTAGGAATTGAACTCATGACCTCTGGAAGAGCAGCCAGTGCTTAACCTCTGAGCCATCTCTCCAGCCCAACCATAATTTCTTAACGCATAAAAATTATGAATAGTTTTTTATATAGATGTTTCATAACATTTGGATATATAATTTACTTAATCTTGCTTTACTACATCAGATTATTTCTGTATGATATTCAGAACAGTGTGGGTCATTCAACAGAAAAAAAAAGAGGTAAAAGTAAGACTTGTTGCACACTTACAAATGTAAATTAAAAGATGTAACTCAACTTACTCTTTTACTGAGGCAAATAACTGGCCACATACTGCACCCTAAGGTACAGCAGCAGCACAGGCAGCCACAGAGCAGCCACCGCACGTTCACAGGAAGGTTCTTCCTGAGACAGCTGTTAACTCTGTTGATGCTGGCTTTAAATTCTTCAGGAGCTACCTAAAGGAAGGCAACAAACAACACTCAGGTGCTAATGGCAATTACTGGGTCTCAACACATATTTTTCTAATTTCTAGGAAAAACTAATTTGAGATATATAAACAGTAGATCAGTAAAAGAGACACTCACTTTTCCAGTTAGTGAAGAAGGGAATTCTGATTCAAATTTGTTGCTCAGTCCAAATCTGTTTTCAAAAAAGAAAATATATGTTGTTACATCACTGTGGCAACTAACAGGTAGACTGAAAAGAATAAGGACCCCCTCCACAGTGTCTAAGACAGAATGAAGGTCTAAGATACAAAAATCATCATAATGAGCAACTTACACAATGTAGCATATAAAGAGTTTCCAAGTGTAACCAAAACTTTTATATGAGGCACAATGTTAAATAACCAGCAATATGTAAGTAAAATAGATGGCAATATCTTAATCAGATAGTATATTTTTTAGCTTTCACTGTTTTGAACTCATAGTGTATTTTGTCTTTTAATTACCAAACTACAAGAATCCAATCGGTTCAATTTATTTCACGCTGAACCAAAAATATTTGTCTAATGTTTATTACACTTGCTTCGGAGTCACAACACTATTTTTAAGAACCAAAATTTTAAAATAGAAATACTGTACAATGATATTAATTACAACATATGTGATAATTCATTACAGCTAAAACCACATATAAACAAGATAGTCCAATAAGTCCATTACTTGAACAACCAACTAGGACGTCTCTACTCTGGAAATTGAGCCCACAAATGGGCATTTGATTTAAGTACACTTAAATCACAGGACTGGCTAGCAGCACAGGGGGTGGCAGGACCCAACAGGAATGCCCAATTCAGGCAAAGTTTTTTTTCTCTTGACGTATATGAATACCTTATATTGTATTCATATATACAAATAAATAGATGGTATTGTGGTTAAGGGCTAAAACACCCAAAAAAGGCTTAAATTTACAGTAAAATTGTGAGACCTGAAAGTCAAGAATAAACAGCAGACAGTAGGAAGAAGAAACTGCCAAGTGAAGGAGAAGAAAGAAGTCCGCAGTTCCCACTGCAACAGCAGGAGGTGGGATGATTACATAGGCAAACCACCGTGACAGGGCACTAGACCAGGAAGCAGAAGAAAATGTCCGAACTGCTCAAGTCTAGCTGTAGGATGGTATGTCCTGTCTCTCCTAGCCCCCAAAGCATCCTTAAAAAAGATTCTACAGCTTAAATCTCCGAGTACTTCTGTTCTTTATAGTCTAATACAGACTCATCATTCATATTTTTAAGATCCCATAATGACAGTGGCAAATGCTCTCAATATAATCCTTAATAAAATAATGCAAAAACTTAAATATTATTACCTAAATTTTAATGTAACTATTTTCATATGAGAACAAAAATTAAATCCATCCAAATACTAATGGTAGGTAATCCTAAAGAATGAAGACTATGGATGACATTTTTTTTACTTTCATGTTTTCCATGCCTTCTCTAATAAAATCTATTAGTATTTAAAGCTAAATTTAAAGGCTGGGATAGACTGTGGAGATTAGCCTGGGCCTACATTTGGATCCCCAGAACCCACATAAAAAGCCAGGCACAACACCCATAAACTGAGGGTTGAGGGGATGGGAGTGGGTCACACAGGAGGAAGCGCATGCTCAGTGAGTTTCTATCTCAGGAAACAAAGGTGGAGTGAAAGTGATATAGGAAAAGACAGCCCATGTCTACCTCTTACACACACACAACACAAACCACATTAAAAAGTACATATAACACACACATGCACACACTTAAACATACACTTGTATACTACATTTTAAAACTACATATACACACATGTCAAAAAAAAACTAGGAACAATTATACAAAAAACATAAGCCCTTTTGCATCTTAGTGAGCATGAGTTTCGTTTTCTACTTCACTGGGAAACACAACTTCCCAATTTATAAATAATCTTTATGCTTTTCTTTATAGTTAGAAAAAAAAGAATTAAAATATAAAGAAAAATGACAGTTTTTAAAGAAAAAGGAAATGTATGTACAAGAGACATGTCAATCTTTACAGATAATTCCACTAACATTGGAGTGTATTTCAGGGCTGGGAACGCAGCTCAGTCAATAACATTCATGAAGTTGCCTAGCATATATTAAGCCCTGGGTTCAATCCCTAACACTACATAAACTAGGCATGGTAGCACACATCTATTAATACTAGAACTCAGGAAGTGGCAGCAGGGAGATCAGGAATTGAAGCTTACCCTCAGGAATAGAGGGAGTTCAAAGTCAGTTCAAAATACAAGAAAACCTGTCTTAACAACAAACCCACCAACCAAAAATACACAAAGAGTGTATTTTAGAGTACTTTTGTCATTTTGGTTTGGGGGTTTGTTTACTTATTTATTACGTGTCTCTGGATATGCACACACATGGAGGCAGAACCAGGAAGTCAGGTCCTTCACCACTCTACACCTATTCTTTAGATGCAAGGCCCTCCTTCATGTACCTAGGGTTTGCTCTTTCTCTTGCTAGTCTGTTTCAAAGTGTTCCCGAAATTCTCCAGTCTTTGCTCCCCTTGCAGCCTGAGTCACAAGCTCCTGAGGTCCCATCTGTATCTAATGATCACAAAGCAAGTGCTAGGTTGTTGTTGTTATGAATCAGGCCAAGACCTTTACATACTTCTCCGCTGTTTTGTGTTTTATAAAATTTACTCATTTTATGTTTCTGAATGTTTTGCCTGCATGTAGGTCTGCCCACCATGTGTGTGCATGATGCCCAGATCACCTGAACCTGGGGCTAGGGATGGTTGTGTGTGCTGGGAACTGAACAAAGATCCCCTATAAGCAACAAGTCCTTGCCCTCCCTCCTGTCCTCCATCTCTCACACATCTCAAAATTTCCAACAATTTACCAACCAAGGTCAGGAGGTAAAATGCAGAAAACAGGGTATGGAAAACATGCTGACTTCAAGAAAGCTAAGCAGTAACCGTGGGTTTATAAGTGAAATGGCAAGCATGCAGCCAGCAACCCAATTAGATAAGACAAAAATCGGCAAGTATAGAAAGCTAATGTGGTGCAGCTGGAAGAGCAATAAACTGCAGAAGGAATGCCTGCATTCTAATCCTGGTTTAAATATCAATTCAATATTTCATCAGGAAAGGAAATCTTCCCTGCAGTTTTATTGTCTCAGATAAGACAGCAGACCAAAGAGCAAAAGTTGTGCTGTCCTAAGTTTCTGGTTTTTACAGTGCTAAGGAGCAAATCCAGAGCCCTGGCAATCACTCTCATAAAGTTCCATCCAAGCGCAAACTCTAATTTGTTTGTTTGTTTGTTTGTTTTGGAGGCATGGTCTCACCAAATAGGCCATTTCTAAACTTTACTATTCTGTGTGGTTTTGTATATGGTGTATATGCTAGCTAGTTTTATGTCACCTGGACAGAGTTATCTGAAAAGAGGGAACCTCAACTGATAAAATGCCTCTGTAAGCTCTGGCTGTATGACATTTTTTAAATTAGTGACTGATGGGAGAAGGCCCAGCCTCCTGTGGGAGGTAGTCCTAGGTTTTATAAGCAATCAGGCTAAGGAAGACATGAGGAGCAAACCAGTAAGCAGCCCCCTCCATGGCCTCTGCTCAGCTTCTGCCTCCAGGTTTCTGCCCTGTTTGAGCTCCTGTCCTGACTTCTGTTGACAATGATATGTAAACTAAATAGACCCTTTCCTCCCCAGATTGCCTTGGTCATGGTGTTTCATCACAGCAATAGAAACTCAAACCAAAACAGTGTTCATAGAGCTCATTTGGAGGTCAGGGGAGACCTTGGTAGTGTTGAGCCTTCTCATGTGCGCAACTCTCCCAATATTGTCTTGTTTTTTTATGAGTCTCTCTGGATAGCCTTGGCTGTCTTGGAGTTTGCTATGTAGACAAGGCAGGCTTTAAACACAAGAGTTTCTCCTGCCTCTGCCTCACACAAGTGCTGAGATTCAAGGTGTGCACCACCATACCCAGCTCCTCAAATAAAAACCCAAACCAAACAAAAACCTCCAAAATTTAAAGGTTCATTTTACACATAGGAGAGTTGCTATACAATGGGAATGTTTTAAGTCTTTATTCTTGTTAAGAAAAGTTTAGCGAGGGTTTCTCTCTTAACAAGAAGTTTGTCTGAAGTTTATATTCTAAAGTAAGGTGTAAAGGCACTTGGCTACCTTAAGCCCAGAATTAAGAAGGCTGAAGTGGGAGGATTTGAAGTTTAAGGCCAACCACAGCTACATGGCAAATCCTAGTCTTAAATAAATAAATTTTGTACTCTAACATGTCTGGCTAATTTATGTTCTGACAGAAGGCAATTATGAAAAAAGAAGAATGTGGCACAGGATAAGGAGAAGATGGAGAGTTCTAATTTTAAGTAGGAGGGTAAGCCTCTAACTGAAAGAAATCTGAAGATGAGAAGATGGAAGCAAGAGTCATAAAAAGGAGCTAGTACAAAGGGCCTAGGTCAGAAATACACCTAGAATAATTCAGAAACGGAACGAAAGCCAGGATAACTAGAACGGGGTAAGCAAGCAGAAGAAAGAAAGAAGTCAGAGACATGTCCACACAGTGGGTCAGGTCAGGGAGAATCCCGCAGCCACTCAGGGGACTCTAAGGAGATGGGTTCCAGGGAGCTGATACAGAAGAGACACCGCTGAGTTATGGTTCGTAAGATTATCATGGCAGTAGTGCCAGTGAGAGTGGAAAGCGGGAAGAGCAGAGTGTAAAAGGCAAAAGGGGGAAAAAACCCTAAGGCAAAAGAAACAAAAGTTGTCAGGTTTCAAAGACAGAACTAAGGGGTTGCTTGACAAATTAAAGAGAAATACATCTAAGTTATGTCAGAATTTCTGCTCTATGGTGGGGTGACGTACTGGCTAGGTTTTCTGTAAATTTAACAAAAGCTAACATCATTTGGGAAGAGGATACCTCAACTGAGAAAATGCACCCATTAGATTGGCTTGTAGGCAAGCCTGTGGGTCATTTTCTTCACTAATGATTAATGTGGGAGGCCCCAGCTCCCTGTGAGTGATGTGGGTGTTACCATGCCTAGGGCTTTGGTCCTGAGTTGTATAATGCAGGCTGAGCAGGCCACTGGGGAGTAGGCCGTGCACAGCATTTCTCCATGGTCTCCTGCTTCAGTTTCTGCCTCCAGGTTCCTGCCTCAGCTTCCC